GTGCTCCCAGCCACAGATGTACAGGGCCTTGGCTCTTAGAGCAGGGCCCATCAAATCCTCCTGGGAGACAGCAGGAGACACATTGAGCTGTGGGTGGATTTGGGGTGGCTGGGTCACTGTGAAGAGCCCAGCAAAGCCTTGGCCAGAACCAGGGCACAGTGTCAGATGCCACCTCTGTGGTCCTTATGAATAGCCGAGTCCTCACCAAGCACCCTGCGACCTACCCCAGCACCCCACCCTCTCACCAGCTGTCATGCCCAGGCAGGCATTCTGGAGGTCCCCATCTTGCCCCTGGCACACACAAAGCTTTGGAGGACCTGGGGGGTGAGACTGGGGGCTTTCTCAAGCTCTGCAAAATATTCACACACACACTCCACCCTGCCCCCCGCCCTCTGCGAGCTTCCACCACACAATAGGCCCTTGTCTCAGGGCTCCCTCTGAGCAGCTGTGGCAATGGGGCATGAGAGAACCCAGACAGGCTGGCACAGAATGGGTGGCAGCAGGACACACCTCCCCCTCCGGGGTTGCCAGGCATTGCTTGTAAGCATAAAGGTGAGATGGCGGGGGCATGAGCCCACGGGAGCAGCATTCATTAATGAACTTAGGGATGGGAATGCCCCTCTGGGAGAGGGAGGGCCCTGGGCCTGCCTTGCTATGGACAATGACCATCACTGGCTCCTCCCCTTGCTGCCCCCCTGACTTGTGATTACTGACCAGGGATACCTACCCATGGCAGCTCTGTCCCTCAGGGCTCATTGAACAGTTTCTGGAGGTAGTTTGGGTTGTCACAACTAAGATGCCATTGGCATCTGGTGGGTAGAGGCCAGAGATGCCACCCTACACCCTGACCGGGATGCCCCTCCCCCTGCCTCAGTGACCAGTCCAGCCCAAATGTTGGGGGTAAAGTACACACTGCCTCCCCTCTCTTCTGTTTCCCGGGGCTAGCCCTGGAGCCTGGGTGAAGGGGTCTATTGCCTGGGATGGGTGCCCAAGGCTGGAGGGTGGGTACTTGGCTAGCGGTTGTATGAAACTTGGTTCCTGATTCTGTCTCCTTTTGTTTCTCCTGCAGAATCCGGACAATCAGATAGTTCAAACCAGCAAGGAGATGCGGACATCAAACCACTGCCCAACGGTCAGTGCCCCGCCCGCCCTCCTCCCCTTCACTCAGCTGTCCAGTGGCGGGCTGTCATCCAAGGAGGGAGGTTCCCCTGGTGTATGCCCCTTTGGGGGCTAATGGAAAACCCTTAAGGGGTGGAGCCAAGCAGGGAAGAACTTTGGGGAAATGGACAGGCACCCCATCCTGATCGGGCTCCACTCACCAGCCATTTTCTTTCTTTAGGGCACTTAAGTTTCCAGGACTGCTTTGTGACTTCTGGGGTCTGGAACGTGACAGAGCTGGTGAGAGTGTCACAGAGTAAGTTGTGTCCTGGGGGCCAGGGGCCAGGACCAGGGTGCAAAGGTGGTTTTCAGACTTCACAGGGCTATATTGATGATATCGTAGGGACTCTTTGCCCATTTGGCCCTGAGCTGGGAAGAGCAGTTGTCCAGAGAATCCTGTCTCTAACCCCTGCTGTGGGGGCGGGAACCCACAACCAGTGGCTCTTCCCTTACAGCCCACTCAGGAAATCCCACCCAGGAAGGGGGTCTTCCCAGCAGCCTAGACATCACAGTGAGCTCTTCCTGGGCTTCTGGGAAGTGTTCATGGCAGCAGAGCTGGCCCTGGGGTCCACAACAGCATCTTCCAACCTCACCAACCTCTCTCTTCCCAGCTCCTGTTGCAACCGCATCAGGACCCAACTTCTCCCTGGCAGACCTGGAGAGCCCCAGTTATTACAACATAAACCAAGTGACCCTGGGACGGCGGTCCATCACCTCCCCTCCTTCCACCAGGTAAGCCAGGGCAGTGGCCTCCTCGCCTTCCTAACCACCTCCCATGGCTTCAAGCAGCTCTGCTTTCTGGGCTACGGTCCTTCAGGGTATCGCCATGCTCAGCCACCCATGGAGCTTCCTGTTTTATGCTGTCGTGAAGCCCTTGATCGTGGGACATAACCCACAAGGCATGGCTGTGCCTGGGAGTGAGACTAAGAGAAGTCCTGTCTTGTGGAGATGGCATTTGAGCCCAGACAGAGCTGGTTGTGTGTGTGTGTCGGGGGGTCCACCTGGAAACTCTGGGCAGCTTCCCTCTCAGTGAGACTTGGACAGGTTGTCAGGATTATCCCCATCGAGGACTTGGGCTCTTTCAGAGGGTGGGGACCATTGGAGGGCATATGGGGCAGAGTGGACAGCTGTGAGACCACTGGACCAGGATGGAACACAGGAAGGCCTGGACAGATAGGGAGGTTTGCAGAAAGAGAGATCTGCCTGGGAAAAAGAAACCCCAAGGTCTGAGCCAGAGTTCAGCAAGGGAAGGTTGAGTTGTTTCCTTTTTAACTGGAAATTTTTTGTTTACCATGTAGCTTTCTCTTTTGAATTTTTTAAGTTGTTTGTTTGGTTAGGTTTTTTTGGTTTTTTTTTTTTTTGAGACAGGGTTTCTCTGTGTAGCCCTGGCTGTCCTGGAACTCACTCTGTAGACCAGGCAGGCCCACCTGCCTCTGCCTCCTGAGCGCTGGGACTAAAGGTGTAGGCGACCATGCCTGGTATGAGTATGCGGCCAGAGGCTCTGGAGCGGAGTTACAGCTCCCTGGCATGAATGCCGGCACTCAAACTCGCTTCTCTGTAAGAGCAGTAAGTGCCTGCTCGTGACCACTGGGCCATCACTCCAGCCTGTGGTGTCTGTTTGTTTTTAATCTTGCATTAGAATATTTTTTATTATTTATTTATGAGACAAGTTCAACCAGCTGACCTGGAGTTCACTGAAATCCCCCTGTGTCAGCCTTCCGAGCACTAGGATGGCAGACGTGAGAGTCACCACTGCTGGCTCACAACACTGTTTAATGATTAAGTTTCACGGCACAATTGAGAGCTGATGGGAAGTCGTGGCTGGGACACAGCAGGCAGATGAAGGTTTTGTCTGTTCTTAGATGGGCTCTCAGTGATCGGGTAACCCGAGGGAGAGGGGGTCTGGAGATGCTGTCCTCCAGGAACTGGAGTGCTTCCGTAGGCTGGCACGCTCCAGCAAACAATACCCGGGCCTCAGCCCCTGGCGGCTGCTTGGAACTGTGGCCCACTGGACTCCCTTCTTCCTCAGCACCACCAAGCGCCCCAAGTCCATCGATGACAGCGAGATGGAGAGCCCAGTTGATGATGTGTTCTACCCCGGGACAGGCCGCTCCCCAGCAGCTGGTAGCAGCCAGTCCAGTGGATGGCCCAATGACGTGGATGCAGGTATGGAGATGGCAGTCACACCATGGCAGCCTGTGCTTCCCTGTGGCCTCTTCTGTCAGGTGGCAGACCATGCTGAAGGAGGAGAGTGGGGTGAGGAGCTGAGCCTCCCGAGTTGGTAGCTAGCTTGTGGGCATGGTAGGTAGAGCAGATGGCTACCAAGCCTATAATGCCATGTATTAAAGGCATGACCTCGTTTTCATAGACCCCTTGCCTCTAGAGACCCGCCTAGCCTTGAGGTTCCCAGCTGGGCCCAAGGTTGTCTTTGAGGCCCCGTGGCTTTCTGAGGCCTGGGTTGCCCTTGTGTTAGAAGGTGTTCAGCAGTATTCCTGGGTCCACCACTAGATGCCAGTAGCAAACATCTACCCCTTTAGGCGGTTGTTTTTGTTTTGAGACAGGGCCTAGCTATATAACAGCCCGGCTGGCCTCAAGCTCTGAGCGCCCTTACCCACCTCCTGCGTGTTGGGGCTGCATGCTGCGTCGCTGCATCCGGCCACCCTATTTGGACGACTATAAATGTCCCCAGACATTGCCAGATGCCCTCAGGAAGACAGATTCGAGGTGGCAAACCCTTGCCTTGGGGCTCAGCTTTACAAAGAAGCTCAGAACTGAGGGTGGAAGGCCAGAACTGTCTTGGGAAGCTAGCAAAGAGCAGAGATTCTGAAGGGCCCAGGAAGCCGCCCAGACCTTCCCAGTCCTGGCTGAGCTGGCTTCCTGTGGAGTCCAGCCATGGGCTGCTCCAATGCAAGCTGGTGGTGTGGAAGCCTAGAAGCCCAGAAGGGAGGCTGTGCACACCAGAGGCTGTGGTGCTCTTGAGGCCTTGGGACCTGCAAGCGCAGACCTGCTTTTGTACAGTGTGCATAGAACTTGCCTGCTCGAGACTGAGCTGGGGACACTGGATGGGGCTGGGCCTGGGATTCATTGTTTGAGCCACAGTCTGATCTGATGGCAACTTGTCTGGTAGAGACCCTGCTGCGGGACCCTGGCTTTGACTCTGGTTCCTGTGCAAAGACAGCAGAGCTTGGGCTTGGGCTGGAGGAATGGACTTGGCACTCTCTAGAGCACCAGAGGAGACTGTGCTTTGTGGAAAGGCACCCAGCATGACTTGGAGGTCCTGCTCTGGGCTTCCCTGTGGCAGACAGGGCCTGGGCCAGTGTGACCTACACACTCTCCTAGGGGACTCTCGGAAGGTGGATAGAGAGGGAGTTGCGAGGCTGGACATTGCTATATCCCAGATCCTGGCCTCGGGCAGGTGACATCTTCTGCAGGGACTGCTGCTAGGGTGCCTTGATGACCTGCTGACGGCCAGTGAGTGTCCGTGTCCCCAGAGCCTCCTCGCCAGGCTGCTGCAGTCTTTCCTCTCTGTCCCGCCCCACTGCCTGCCGTCTCGGTTGCTTCTGGCGGTCCTGCCGTGCACAGCCCCCCCAGGACCCCTCACCCCCAACTCGTCGTTCGTTCCCTGGGCTGCGACAAATCGCCAATTAAGCAGCCCAGCTGCAGGATGGGAACAGCTGGGTAGGCGCTGTGCAGCAGCAGGGACAGCTGTGCACAGCTGGTGGAGCACTCCCCCCTCCTCACCATGCCAGCTATCAGGTGGCACACAGCTGCTGCCAGATAACACCTCTGCTGGTCGCTGGGAGCTCACCCTTCCCCCGCCACTTCTCTCTGTGGCTGAAACTCTGGTTTTCTGTTCTGCGGCTCCCCATGCCCATCAAAACCAACGAGATTTATCCCTCAGAGACGGCAGCTCGGCACTTGCCTCACGAGCTCCACCTTGCCTGGTCAGCCTGGGCATGGCCTCGAAACTCAGCCCAGGACAAGAGATACCAAAAGAATGTGTCCCTGGGAACCCTGCTTGCCAGCCTGTTACTTGGATGCTGTGCACACTGGGCAGGGATGGCATTGGCTTGCAATCTCTGACTCTTAGACGCAAAGCCCAAACAGGGTCTTTTTTGTGCCCCTGTGTCTGGCTGGATGCCACCCTTGCTTTGGCACGGGCCAGAGAAGAACCCCACTGTCTGAGCCCTGTGGCCTGGGCAGTCCTTGCCCTCTGGCTGGTCCCCGGGGTCCTCCCAGCCCTCGGGCTCCTGTCTTTGTTCTCTTGTTGGATGTTGCATCCTCTGGAGGGCCCCTAACTGTGTTTTCCCTTTCCCTTCTCAGAAAGGCAGAGCTGACTTCTGCAGGCTAGAGTATCCTAGGGCTCACGGCACCTTGTCCCAGGTCCCAGCCTGTGCCTCCCACCCTTGTCCCTCTGGCCCCTCTCACTGTCTGCCACCCCTGGCTCATCACCCGGCTCCTGGGGGCTCCTCACGCATCCCTTCCCAGATGCTAGCCCTGCACCCCATTTTATTCCTTCATCGACCGTCGGGGAGCAGGGTGCCCTCCTTGCCGCTCCTGCCCAGCATACTCTCCCGTGTTACCAGAGCCTCATTCTCCTCTTTCGGAAGCAACCGTAGCCAGATTGCACCCCTGAGGTCAGATTGCACCCCTGAGGTCAGGCCGCAGAAGAGCAGAGCAGGGCCAAGGTGCAGGAAGGGCTGCGGGGCCCTGGGAGGAGAGGAGGAGCGGGCTGCTTTGCTGGCCTCCCACCCCAGCCAGCTAACCCAGCGTGTCGCTGCTTCCTCCCCCCAGGCCCTGCTTCTCTAAAGAAGTCAGGAAAACTGGACTTCTGCAGTGCCCTCTCCTCTCAGGGCAGTTCCCCACGCATGGCTTTCACCCACCACCCGCTGCCTGTGCTTGCTGGAGTCAGACCAGGTGAGATGGAGGAGGCGGGGCTTAAGGGGACACTGCGGGAGGCAGCCGCAGCGAGGGGCAGCTGGCCAGGTGCAGCGGGGACCAGGGCTCACTCTAAGTGACAGATCTGGGCTCCCTGAGTGAGGTCATGGCACAGCAGTGGGGTGGCAGGGGACGGGCAGCGGGCCTCTGAGAACCAGGCTTGCGCACTGGGTTCCTAGATTCCCTCGCACACGCTAACTCTGGCCGCATAAGTCTGTGTCGGGTGCATGTTTTGCACATGCTCACTGGGAGCTGCATGCAGCCTCCACCTCCCCCCACCAGCAAGTAGTTGAGCCAAATTGCTCTCCTGTGGATTGGAAAGAGCACGTCTCAGCAGTCCAAGTTCCTGGTGTCTGTCCTAGAGCAAACTGTCACCTACTCTGGGCTTCCCTGCCTTTCCCAGAAGTAAAGGGGTGGGCCAAAGGAACAAGGGCTTGCCATGGGAAGGACTGCCCTGCTGTTTCGGGGGTAGTCTCTTCAGGCCCCGAGAAGATGCTGATCTTCCCAAGGGTGGGGCCAGGTGGGAATCCGCGGGAACCTGGCCCTCTCTGGCTTGCTGGGTCCTCCCTCGGCACCCATCTGGCAGCAAAGGCTTTTGTTTGCACACGGCCCTGGGTCTGCCATTCCTCTCTTCTCTTCTGGAGGACACAGCGGGGAGGTTTACCTCCCCGCTTCCTCCTTGGGGCCTCCTGGCTTAGAGCCCAGAGACAGCCCAGCGCTGGGGTAGGGTGTGGTGGCCACGCGGTGGGGGCGGTGGGGGCAGGGAGCCCGGGCCTTGTGCCGGCTGCAGGAGGGAGGCCGGCTCCACTCTGCTGCACTCCATTTTTATGAACTCCAGCGAGAAGCCAAGTTTCCTCAGCCCCCTAATGAAACTGAGAGCAAGAGAGCTGATTGGAAACAGACGGGAGGGGAATGTGGGGAGAGGAGCAGAGGCCTGGGCAGGGTGACTGAGCGTGAGGGGTTGGGGCCAGCTCACGAAGGAGGCCTGCGGATCCCACTTACACTTGTGGAGTTGTGTGTGTGCTAGATGCCTTCCTGCACAGGCAGGCCCGTCCATGCAGAGTCCCTGGAGTCATGCCCTCCTGTTGTCTGCCCCTCAGGCAGGCTCACATCTAGGGCAGGGCAAGTGAGCTGTTTGCCAAGGGTGCAAGAAGAAAAATGTCAAGGATGCCAAAAACTCAGTCCTCAAGATAAGTAATATATCAATGTATTGTTCCTAAAAAATGAAAACAGTTGCAAAACATAGGGTGAGGCCAACACCTGAAATCCCAGCAAACGGGAGGCTGAGGCAGGAGGATCAAGAATTTGAGGCTGTGTGACTCTCTCTCAAAAAACAAATAAGAGCAAAGCTTATGACAAGCAGATATGGCAGAAAGCTTGACTGACGTGTGGACCCCTAGTTCAGTCCTCAGCACTGACAGAAACCAAAGGAAATCAACCAACTAAAACAAACAACACAGCCAGACAGCCAGACACACACCTGCAGTCCAAACGTTAGGAGAGAGACAAGACGATCGGGAAGGGGCTCAAGGTCATACAGTCCAGCCTGGGCTACAAGAAACCCCATCTCCACAGACAAACAAACCAGACAAATGACTTCCTAGGATTCTGAGCAGATAACATCCAACCCTACACTTGTAGCAGGCTGCTCACCTGCCTCAACTACGTCCGCCCCCAGCTCCAGTCACATGTTATTTATAGAAGCAAGCAGCTGGCCTTCAGGTAGTAGTCTGCCAGTTTATGGTTTTTTATTGCGATGACTGAGGGGTTTTGTTCCTGACACGGTGCTTCTGCCCCATTCTGCCTCGTCCTCGGGATCCTCAGCCCGTCCGCTGCCACATCGTCTTTCCCACGTGGCTCCCCTGACAACCTTTTCTCTCTCCTGCCTCTGTGCACACAGGGAGCCCCCGGGCCACAGCATCGGCCCTGCACTTCCCCTCCACGTCCATCATCCAGCAGTCGAGCCCGTATTTCACACACCCGACCATCCGCTACCACCACCACCACGGGCAGGACTCGTTGAAGGAGTTTGTGCAGTTTGTGTGCTCTGATGGCTCGGGCCAGGCCACTGGACAGGTGAGTCCAGAGGGCACAGGAGGCCTCCTAGCCTCATAGACTTGTCTGTCCGTCTGTCCGTCTGATTGTCTTTCTGTCTGTCCAAGGGCTCGGGAAGAAAGGGCCAAAAGTCAGGAGCATACATGGAGTTGAAGTAGCGGGGAGCCCAGAGACTCTACCTTGTGGACAGTTTCAGCGGGCTTGGGGCCAGGGTCGGAGTATTAGGGACTGGAGAGGTGGGGCGGCTGCCCAAGCCTTCCTTCAGGGGCTCCTTCCCTTCCTGCTGACCCTTGGTTCCCAGCAGGAATGAGCCTGTCATTTGTCCAATCAGGCCTTGGACCTCCACCTTTTTAAAATCTAGGGGGTCAAGGATTTGACAGATTGTGGGCCTGAGTTTGTGTGGCTCATTACTGTTGACATTTGGGCTGTTTATTATCTGTGGTGTGAGGCTGCCCTGGACTCTGCCGGAGGCATCCTCGGCCCTCACCTAACAGATGCCAGGGGGTACCTTCTCCCTCTTAGTCATGGGCGTCAAATCTATCTCCCGCTCTCAGGGGGCCCCACGTGATGCTTGTGTGAAGATTCCTATGCCAGGATTCGTACCAAAGGCTCCTGCACTGTTACGGTTCTAGAACAAAGCCCTGTGGATCAGAAGGGTTCCCTGTGGATTCCTTTTCCATGAGCCAGCCCCAGGGCCTGGTGCAAACTCAAGGTGCTCAGCAAAGGAAGATGCTAGCAGCGCATGCTCAGTCTCTAGGGGTCACTTGAGATGGGATGTGGTTGTCCAGACCTCCGGAGAGTTCTGCAGCCCAGCAGAGTGAAGATGCCCCAGCTCCTCTCTTGGCCAGTGCAGGTAGCCTGGCTGTGAGAAGTCAATGGGAGGGTGTTCAAAGAGCTTAGAAAGCAAGTTGGGAGAGGTGTTCTGGAAGTCCACACCAGAGGCAGTTCAGGGGGAGCAGCGGCGGCCCTCTGTTGTTCGGCCGGTAGGGTGCCTTGATGTGCTCTGGGAAGAATGGGCATGTACTGGTTCTGGAGTACACCCGGGCTGGGCTCTCTCTCCATCCTGGGTCTGGTCCTCTTTGCTCTGGCTTGCTCCCACCCCGCCCATCTACTGTCCTCATCCTCCTACTTTATCCCACAAGGGTTTCTCTTGCCGATTCTCCAGTTCCTTAGCACATTGGTGACCTTCCCGCCTCCGAATAAACGCTGCCTGTCTTAGGGGAATGGAAGGGTAGAAGTGACCCGTGATTACCACTTCAGAGATAGAGCAGACTCCAGAGGGACGCTGCCTAGCCTGCCTTTTCACCTCAGGCAGCCAGGCTGGGAGACATCTCTCACCACAGGACCCTGAAGAAAGAATCAGTTGGCCCCTGTCTCCTGAGGGCTGGGTTCTGAGCCTCACCTGTGACCTAACATGTGTACTTGGAACATTCACTTGGCCTAGAGTGAGTTTCTCAAGACAGGTGCTTATTCCATGAGGCTGCAGACAAATGTAAGTAGACACTTCGCTGAGTGTCACTGGCCCCGGGGAGTAGGGAATCCTCTTAAGGTTTCCTCTGTGACCTGCAACTGAGAGGAGGCTGCTGCAGGGCCCATGGGGCTTCTGAAGAGAGGCCGGCCACTCATGCTGGAGAAGAGGCTGTGCTGGTCTCCCCCGGCCACCATAGAGCGGCAGGCCCCAGACTTAGTATATACAAAGAGTCACTCAGAGGCCTCAGCCTTCGGCTTGTTTCAGCAAAGGTGGAGCCTAAGAACCCAAGTGTCTGCCAAGATCCTGCTCCTGGACTGCGGCCAGAGCACCCGCTTTAAGAACCACCGACCTGGAGCCTGAAGGAGCACCCCACTAAGCACCTCAAGAATCCCAGATTACAGACCAGCCTTTCAGCCATAGAGGAGAAATTACAGATATTACAGAGGGCCCCCAGGCACCCTCATATTTCATCCTCCTACCCCAGCCTAGGGCACTTGTTTTGAAGGTCACAGGGAGAGAGCACTTAAGGTGACCCAAAGGGCAGGAGGAAGGTTCTGACCAGCAGTGTTCCAGAGGTAGAGCAGGGGCAGCCTAATGTGCGTGGTGAGGTTGCGGGCCCACGGGGTAATGACTCAGGGAGGCAGGAATGCCACCATCTGTACGAGGCAGGTGATATGCTGGGCCGGCTCATAGGCTCTTTTTGGTCCCCGCCTCAGCTCCTAAGGTAATGCAGAGCCACAGACTTAGATATTTTAATACCTTGACTTGTATCCCAGCCAAAGCTCTGATGCCCCAGGCCTGGTGAAAGCTGTGACTGGCCCCTCAGGCGGGGTTCCTTTAGACACTCTTGCAGCAGACAGGCCGTGGAGGAGGCAGAGGTCTCCAAGCTGTGTTGTAGCTGCTCAGAACGCAGAGAGAAGCCATGAGGCTGTGATCTGTGGGACTGCTCCATTGCCTGTCTGAGGGGAAAATGGGATGGGAGCCAGACGGGCCATTGACATGAGGAGAGAGGCTCTCACTGACACCCCTGCAGAGCTGGAAAACTTGCTCTTTGGTCCTAATGCTGCCTAGAACCAAAGAGTCACTCTCTAAAAGGGCACCTAGCACAGAAGGCTCCAGGCCGGGTCACAGATCGGGATGCTGGGCAGCCGCGGGTCTGTTTAGCCGGATGCTTCTGAACTATCGTCCTGAGGGTGTGCAGGATGGCAGAAGAAGCCGTGTATGGAATAGTGTGTCAGATCTGATAGGTCATTAGGGATAAAGGCTGGTGAGCTCTGGGTCAGGTGTGGCCCGAGTAGAGCTGGGCATGGCAGTGCACACCTGTAATCCCATCATTTAGGAGGTGGAGGCAGGAGGATCAGATGTTGTAAAGTACTTGCCACACAAGTTTGATGACCTAAGTTTGACCCCTGGAACCCACATGACGACGACGGAGACGATCTGAAGAAGGACAGTGTGGTCCTGCTTGGGCTGGAGGACTTGAGTGCTACACGAGTCTGCTGACATTTGGAGCTGGGGGAGAGCTGCTTCCGTGACTCTGATGAAGGGCCAAGGGTGTCCAAGAAGTATAGGACAGCGAGAGACTCTATGATTCAGAGTCTGGCTGGTACCTGTGTGTGTGTGTAATGCCTTCAGAGCAGGCCTCGAGGGGTGCAGGAAGGAGCTGCAGGCAGGGCACTCTGTGGTGAGCAAGTCTACACTCTGACCTTGCCCTCAGCCTCAGTTCGAACGTCCAAGGAGCTCAGAATGGGAAATACCCAGCAGAAAAGAAGGGATGTGGGGGGACAAGGGCCTTGAGTGCCCCTGGGGAGAGTGCATCTTCTAAAACAGTGGGACATTTGCCAGAGATCTGAGCTAACTTGCACTTGGGGAAGAAGGCCCATGAGCCTGCCAAAGGTTCTTGGGTCAGACAGGTAGAGATCTGCCTCCAGGCATGGCCAGTGTAGCAGGTAACTGTGGATAAACCGCTTCCCTGCACGGCACCACGGGATTCAGCTGTTGGATGGGTAGAATAAAGCTTCCTTTACATCAGTTTCCCAGAGACAGTAAGTAAGTACTGTTAACTCTGAGTGCAGGGCGAGAGCTTTCTTCCTGTGAGCTGTAGGATATGGATTTGTCTACCCACTTAATGCCAATGGCATCTTCTAGGCCTCAAAAATGTCTCTAGATGTTGCGGTGTCTTCTAGGATGGGAAGCAGAACTGTCTCCTTGTGAGCAGTCGGAAGGTCAGACGCAGCATGAATACAATGTCTAGGCTGTCGCTGGACACCCAGAGCACTGAGCTGAGCCACTCACTGTCAGAGCAGAGAGGCGACCCCACCCCCCACCCCTGTAGTGAGATGAGTAAGGACGGATGGATGGCTGGAGACATCAGGTGGGTGGGCTTCCGGGGTTTGTCCTCTCATAGAAGGGGGAGCACTGGCCAGGTGTAGTGGAGCATGCTTATAATTCCAGGACTCAGGATGTCGAGTTTGAGGGCAGCCTGAGAGAGAAAGACTTCCCTAGGATTTGTGCCTAGTTGGCCAGAAGGGCTGAAGTTTGCTCCGTAGGAAAAGAAGAGCTGGGGCCAGGCCTCCCTGCGCCTGAGCTGCAGGTGGGCACGGAGGGCTTCCTCCCAAGCAGCAGGAGGCATGTTCCAGGTCTCTCCGGGGATACTGCGCCTTCCTGTGGCCGGGGAGCCTGTGGTGCGTACTTTCTCTGAATCCTTGAAGCTGACCCAGGCATGATCAGGCATGAGGCCTGGAGGAGAAATGCAAGTTTGAGGCACAAAGGACAAGGAATGAACCTTGTGGCAGAATGTCCTTGGCTCCTGAGGGCGTGCGTTATCCAGGGAATCACTCTCGAAGAACCGCACAGAAGCTGGAGCCACCAATGGCGTGTTTTCCTCGCTGGCTGATCTTTATAGAAAAGGCCAGCGCCCCACTGTTCGCAGGCTGAGAACAGGATCTGCTGGAGGTAGAATGGAGGGTGAGCATCTCGGTGCTGATGGCCTCCTGGGCCAGGCTGCCCATGGGGTAGATGTTGGCAGGCCTGTGGGTCCTGGCTAGTCAGCCAGCCCAGCCAGGCCCGTGGAGGGAATGTACCGCTGGGACCTTGGAGGTGAGCTGGCTTCTCTTTCTGGCCATGAGGACAGGTCTTCCAGGAGCATGACTGTTCTAGGTGCAGTGGTGTGCATTGCTAGGTGGTTCATTTTTGTACCTAGAACATCTTGCCTAAGAATTGACGAATTAGCCGGGTATGGTGGCTCACACCTTTAAACCTAGCCCTTGGGAGGCAGAGGCAGGTGGCTCTCTGTGCTTTTGAGGCTAGTCTGGTCTACATGGTGAGTTTGAAGCCAGCCAGAGCTACACATTAAGACCCCGTCTCAAAAAAAAAAAAAGAAAGAAAGAAAGAAATGATGAACCACCCGTCGGACATCCCCCTTCTTCCCTCCCACTACTTCATAAGAGAGAGGAAAAAAGAAAGAGACAGAAACGCCCAAGAGACCAAATAGAGGCCTTACACCTCCTCCATCCTGTGCCCAGAGGAAAGGACCCTCCCTGCCACTCCTGCATCTTCCACCGGGAGCGCCCGCTCTCAGGAGCAAGTGGCCGGCCGCGCAGGGGAGCGTGTGTCTGTGTGTGATGTGCCTTCATGCGTCACTCTATTTATGTTGTTCGCAGCCCAACGGTAGCGGCCAGGGCAAAGTCCCGGGGTCATTTTTGCTACCGCCGCCGCCTCCAGTGGCCAGACCTGTGCCCCTTCCTATGCCTGATTCCAAAACCACCAGCACGGCCCCAGACGGCGCGGCCTTGACTCCTCCATCACCTTGTAAGTGGACGATGAAACCGAAACCACAGCGCCCAGCATCCCTGGCCCATCTACACCAGTCTCCACTGCAAAAAGAGGAGCGCCCCCTCCCAACACAGCCCCTTCCCAGAGCGCCTCAGAGCCTCCCACCGGATGAGCAGGGTTGAGCCCTGGCCATGGCCTCCTGGGCCTCAGTTACGCCAGCCAGCACCCCATGAGCCCTGCCCACTGCTCCCAGCCAGGCCCCGGCCCAGGCCCCCCTGGGGGGACGGGAGGGAGAGTGCAGTGGGGCGCTGGGCCGGGGGTGCTGGCGCGGGTGGGGGGGCGGGAGGCACAGCCATGCCATCTTCATGCCTGATTGCTGCTTTTGTTTTTGTTTTTTGTTGTTGTTGGTTTTTGGTTTTGGTTTTGTTTTTTTTTTGATTTTTTGGTTTTGTTTTTCAATTTTTTGTTGTTGTTTCGTTGTTCCCTTACACACACCGAAAAAAATTAAATGTGACCACAAGGTGATGCCACCACCATCTTCTTTTTGCCTTGTGCCCCCACCTCCACCTGGCCCTTGGGCCTCTGAAGATGCAGGAGGCTGCTTTTCCAACCCTTCTTCCTCAGTTTCCCATTTGGTTTCTCGTTCTTCCTCCCCCCCCCCACCCTCTTCCCATCCTCCCATCCCTTCCCTTCTCTCCCCTCAATTCCTTTCCCAGGTTGTAAGTTCCAAGGAGAAGGGAGGGCACTGGGCCCAGGCTTACTTCATCTCTCTTTCTCTCCTCCCTCTCTCTCTTCCTGTCTTTCCCCCTTAAATCCAATGACAAATGTTGCCAAAGGGAAGACAAGAAAAATCTAAGTGGAGAGGCCCCAGCTAGACCCGACGTGAAGGACAGGAGAGGCGGAAGGCGGGCGGCGCGCTGTCTTGGGCTGGCACAGGGTGGGCAGGAGTCTGAGCTGGAACTGGGCAGCAGTGGAGGGGGGGGGTGGCCCATGTCAACGCTCCTGTCCGTTCGAGCTCTCTGTCTCTCCTCTCCCCTCCCTGCCCTCTCCATGTCATCTCCTCATTTGCATACGCCATTAGACATGATCACAGTCACTGGAGGTGGGCAGCGTGGGGGAGGGAGCCAGGCTGGAGCTCACTCTGAAGAGGGGGCAGAATCTGGTGAGCATGGCCTGGATGTGTCTGGTGTAAAGGAGTGAGCTGCCCAGGTGAGCTGGGACACTCCATTTTCCTCTGGGGACTGCTTCCCAGCTGTTAGGTTCAGCTGAGTGCCCCAGAAGAGCTCAGGGGTATTGGGTTCATTTGTCCCCTGGGCACTGGGCAGCTGCCCCTCCCCCAGGTGGCTGAGCTTTGGGGCTCTGTCTATGGCCTCCTTCTCGGTCACCTGGCCTGACGCACTGACGGGCAGAGAGCAGCGTGGCCCTCAGCCGTTCTGCCACAGCACACAGCAGGCCTCCTCGGGTTCTTTTGTGATCCCTGCTGACTTAGTCCTCCACTGGACCCCTGTGAGTTCCTGAACCACTTGCCAACCAGTGGGACTGCCCAAGGTGGTAAGTGGTGCAGCCCCCAGCGAGGCCGCGGGGCTGGAGAGGTGACCTGGATGAGTGGGGCCATGCCCAGACAGGCTGGTCCAGACTGCCTAGCGCCCACCTTTGCCCTCTGCAAGTAGAAGAGCCAGGGTCTCTACTGGTGAACTCAGTGCTAACTGCTAACCATCGTCTCAGTAGGGGACAGAAGTAGGCCCAAGAGACTTCAGCTGCAGCCTCGAGGGCCCTTCCTCACCCCAGCCTTGAACCAGGCTGAAGCAGGAGGGTATGAGTGTGCTCCTGGTCAGTGAGCGGAAAGGCTTGCAGCCTGGCCTCCCAACTGTAGCCTACCCTGCGGCATGTCTCACCTAGTCTTTCTCAGCCCCCCAGAGGGGCAGTGCCCAGGAGGGCCTCATAGCCTGACCTGGTCTTTCCTCTCTCCTCACCCCCTGCTCCCCACAGCATTCGCAGCGACAGGCGCCTCCTCTGCCAACCGGTTTGTCAGCATCGGACCCCGGGACGGCAACTTTCTGAACATCCCACAGCAGTCTCAGGTAGGAGATGCCCCGATGCAGGCAGAGCACATCTTGGGATGAGGAGAGAAGCCAGGGTCCTGGGGAGGGCTGTTCCTTGTGAGTTGCATGCCCAGGCTTCTGCCCAGCTGAGCAGGCTCCCTAGGCAGCCTCAGGCTCCCTTGCTAATCAGCTAATTGGATAATTAGCTCTGACAGCCCCGGACCTGGGAAAGGCAACCCAAGGCTAGAGACCTCTGGGCCATCCTGGTAGAGCCAAGAGGGAAGTTTGAGGCACTGACTAGGAAGGCAGTCCTGTCTCCTGGATCTCCTCCTACCCTTCCAACCCTGGAAGGAAGCTCAAGGAAGCCTTTGCCTTCCCTGTCTCCCTGGCACTGGGTGGGCTGGACGAAGGTGGGGGAGGGGCAAAGTAGCTCTGGTGGGCTGCATCCCCAGAGACTGGCATCAAGGGCAGGGCTGGCTGCCGTCCTGGAGGCCCCTCCCCTGAGTCTCCACAAGCCCCATTAGGAGGAAAGTCAGGCTGCTGGACACCACCCCCACTTCCCAGAAGGAGACAAGCTAAACTTGCCCTCCAGCCTGAGGCCCCAGGCTGCCTTCAGAAGGCATGCACATATAGATGTCTCTCTCTCTCACGTGCACGCGCCTTCATCTAGCAGGTAGAACCCAGGGCCCTTGGAACACAGGGAGGGCGCGCACCTCAGGAACAGGCCAGGGGCGGCTTTAGGGGGCCAGGGCTTTCAGAAAAAGCACACAAATATTCTTCTTTTTGTACATTTTATAAAAACACTTCCTTGCCGGCTTCCTCAGCCCTGGGAAATCCACCCCTGCTCAGAGCCTCAGGGCCACCTCTGTGGGCTCCTGCCCCGCCTCTGCTGAGGCCCCAGTCCAGAGAAAGTTGGTGGATGGAAGTTGTGTGTGTGTGTGTGTGTGTTTAAGGGTCTTTTCTTTCTTTTCCTTACACACACACACACACACACACACACATACACACACACACACATACACACACACACACACACACACACAACTTAGTCAAACTTCAAACTTCAGAGCTCCCTAGTGGTGAGGAGGGGAGGAGAAGGGAACTTCAACCCCCTCCAGCCTCCCACCCCCTTCCCCCAGAGTCACGTCTGACCCGTCTGGTTTCCAGGAGCAACCAGACATGATGTAACACCCAGATGAACTTGAACTTGGGGGTGTTGAGAAGAAAAACAATGGTTCTGAGCAGGGTCTGGAGCCAGCCCCTCTGCTCTGTGCCAGGGAGGCCGAGAAAGCCCTGCTGGCAGAAGGTGGGAGGGGGTGCCAGGGGAAGGGACAGCAGGCGGGCCTCCCCTCCCAGCTCTGGGCTGGCACGGAGCAGGGCTCCAGTGCTCCCTCCCTCCCCCGCCCCCTACTCGGCGGCGGTGGCGCAGTGGCTTGCTCCGCTGCAGCCGCCGCCGCCGCCGCCGCCGCCGCCGCCGCCGCCCAGCGCCCTCCCCTCTCCCTTGGCCTTCTTCACTTTCTCTGCTCACTTTACTTGGATGTTTTGAGGCCAAGTCAGAGTTTGAGGCAAGTTTGGGAAACCATTTGTCTCTCTCTCCCTCACTGCCTTATGATGCAGGTGGGGAAATGAATCCCAGCCTGATCCAGGGCCCTTGACCAGGCAGGTGTGTCTGGGGATCATGGGGAAAGGGAAGTTAGACACCCCAGAGCAGAAGCCCTTGGGCCTGGGGGCAGGCAGGCGGCTGTGGGGGACAAGCAGGAGTGGTTTCCACAGTAACCAGTGACTTTAGCTGATCCTTGGAGCACCAGATGGAGACAGAACAATAGAATGAGGAAAGAAAAGAAAATTTTAGCAATTTTATCATTCCCTAAACAGTGCTTTTTACTTAGTTTTAATCAGTTTTGGGCCTGGCTCGGGAAGCAGGGAGGGGGTAAGCAGAAAAGGCAGCCTGGGCTTGACGGCACAGCCCTGCTCCTGCGGCCTGTGGAGGTCTGCTAAGTCCTCCACGGGGCTGAAACCAACCGGAGGCCTCCTCCCTGGAGGAGCCCCACTCTTGAGACGGTAAAGCTATGTAGTACAGGAAACTTCAAGGGGCCAGTTTGGGCCTTGGCGTGGGGGCCCCATGTCCCATGTGCCCTCCACCCCCCACACCGTGTCTGTCAGGGAAGCAGAGGAGGGTGGCTTCCCAGGCCTGGAGCAGTGGTGTAGGAGCTCATGTCAGCCATCCCTTGGGTCCCAGAGAACACCAGAGCTAGAAGGCCAGAGCTCTACTGACTGACTTCACTCTGGGAGGACGGCCCACCTGGTTTCCACCTCAGCTTCCCAGGCCCTTGCCTGGCCATTAGTCAGTGGCCCAGTGAGACTTGGGGCAGCGGCTTGAGGACCCAGAGGGAGGCAGCTCTCCTGTGCACACCCTGCCTGGCACCCCACAAGCAGTCCGCATCACTGGTAGGCAGCACCATTTGCCGTGGCACTCTGAGTACCCCCATTTCCAGATGTCTGTCCTTGGTGCCCTCTGTTGTCCCGACCACTGGCCACATGCAGTGTTGTACATTGAAATTAACTAGAGAAAATCTCAGGGCTGGAGAGAGAGCTCTGTGGAAGAGCACTCACCTAACATTCATGATGGCCTCGGTTCAGTCTCCACACCGTACTCCACGGTGACATTTCAAGTGTCCATGCCCATAAACCAAGCTACCCGTGACTTCATTGGACAGCACATCTAGGACTCCATTGCCAAAGAAAATTCTAGAGGATCTTTGAAGCTCGAGCTTCATTTTTATTTGTGTGTGTGTACACTCGAGTGTGTGTAATATGCATATATGGGCTTCAGTCAGTTCTCTCCTTCCACTTTTATGTAGGTTAGGGGTTGAATTCTGGTCACATGACTTGCATGCTGTGACTAAAGGAGCAAGACACTGTGCTTCTCTGACTCTGTTGCTAAGTCTTGTATTTAGTGCCCCTATTTCACAGGGGTACTTACTGCAGTTCCAAACCAGAGCCCGAGGGACAGGGTCTGGCACAAGCTGATCAATATTGAAATATTAATGGTTTTGTTTTTTAAAAGAGAGTTGGAACCCAGAGCCTCAGACATGCTAGGCATGGCCACACCCCCACCCAGTAATGGTGGGCTTTCTATTTTTGTTTTGTTTTTGAACCAGGATCTTTCTATGTAATAGGCTGGCCTCAAACTTGATCCCCTTGCTACAGCCTCCTGACTGTTGGAATCACCAGCAAGTTTTATCATACCTGGATCCAACAGCATTTTTTGTGTGTCTGAGTTTTGAGACAGGGTCTTGTTCTATAGCCCAGGCTGGCCTGGAACTCACTATGAAGGCCTGAATGTCCTCAAATTCCCAACAATTCTCCTGCCTCAGTCTCCCAAGGGCTGAGATCACAAGAATAAGCCACCAATCTGGCTTCCAATAGTCTGTTTGTTCTTGAGGTGTGTGTCTTTAATGTAACTGTAGTTGTCCTGGAACTCACTATGTAGACCAGGCTGGCCTCCAGCTGACAGACATCCACCTCCTGGGATTAAAGTCATGCACCACCATGCCTGGCTCTAGTAGTATTTTAAATATTGGAAATTTTCACATGAAATTCTGCCTGGATTTCTGGCTTCTTTTGAGAAGTTAGCCACTCCAGCTACCTGGTGCCTTCACCCCAACTTAGCAGGCTGGACTCTGCCTAGGCAGAGCACAGGCATTCCCATTCAGCCCTGTCTCCTTACGGGACTGCTGCGCATGCCGGAGAGAGGAACTGGGCTCTTAACCACTTCCCGCATTAGAGTCCCTTTAAGTCATCCGAGGGCTCTGACCTCAAGCAGGTCAAGGTTACCCATCCCAAGTGTACCTGGCATCAGTGTGGGCTTGGGGCAAGGATGGAATGAGGCAGTATCTGGCATGTATATTCTGTAGTTGGCACTGCCTGGTCCTGTAGACACAAGTCTGTGTTGTGACATCGGGGACCCTCACTTTGTTGTGAAGGTACTGCCAGGTATACCCAAGCACGGGAGTAGGTCTGGAGAAAAGTCCTCCACTCTCCCTTGGGCAGGAAACCAGAGTGGAGCCTTTGATGGAGGGCGTTGCCAAGCAGCCAGCCCCAGGGGTCCACCCTGTGTGGACTGAGTGTTCACTGCCAGGAGGGCCCTATACACGGGAAGGCAGCGCCCCCTGCTGGCGGCGTAGGGAAGCAATGCCCACCGCAGGGCGCTTCAGGCTCTTTCTCCAGTTTGGTGTCCTGAAGGCCCCAAATCGTGCTGGGTGGGTGGGCCCTGGTCCCCTCCCCCAGGTCTGGCCCCTGTAGGAACTGAAGCCATGTGGTTCCCTGCCCCCAGCCTTTTAGACTGAGGGACAGAACGTTGGCTGGGATGTACAGACGTGAATTTCTGCTTTTAATCCAAAGAGACAGAAAACTCAGCAAGAACTCAAGCTGGGCCACCCCCACCCTACTCCCCCAACCCCTGTGGGTACAAAAGCCCCAGCCTGGCATCCTCTCCACCTTCCAGGTCCCACACAAAACCTAAACAATTGCAAACATGGCCAGATCCCAGGTCTTTGCCAGTGCCAGCCATGGGGGTCCCACCCGCTGGGCACAGTGCCCACGGGAAGGCCAGCTGGACTCTTGCACTGGGGATTGGGTCCGGGGGGGATTCCCTCAGAGGGTGGGGAGAATGGGCTGGCTTCCTCCATTGGGGTCAGCTGCCCAGCACCCTGGCTCCTCCACTTGAGCTCGCTGTCGAGGTTGGGGATCATAGGGCCAGGTGGGGTGAGATAGGAACTGGGACCCGCCCAAGCTGTTCTCATTGTCGCTTTTTTTTTTTTTTTTCCTGGTCCCGTTTCAGTCCTGGTTCCTCTGATTAAGGTCAACAAAGAAACAACAAAATTAAAAAAAAAAAAAAAAAAAAAAAGAGGTTCCTCAAAAGGGGGGAGAAGAAATTTTGAAACATGGAAATATCCCCCAGCCCAGCCCCACCGAAAAGCAAAACTTAGACGTCGTCAGCCACTCAGCCCTTCCTCCTCCAGCCCGGGTACCCCTGCGGTCCAAAGCAGCCCAGTCCTGGGAGCCCTCGGAAGGGGTCTCAGCGGACCTTACACCAGCAGCCAAGCAGAAAGAAGCATGCTAAACGGACTCTGCTAAACAGAGGACAAACAGAAAGGATGCAACAAGGCTGCCTTCCTCCTACCCAGCCCGGCCTTCCGGGGAAGGAGCAGCCAGCTCGCTGTTCTTGGGGACCCCACCCTCCGCTGGACCTGAGCTTCCCTAGGAGCCCAGAGGAACAGCTCGTAAGGATGATGGGAGTAGACATTCGAGCTCACCTCCGGACTTCGCCCCTCCCTCCTCTCCCTCTCACCCTTCCTGGGAGCCTCTGCTCAGGCTTCTGTCCCCAGCTGCTCTGGACCAGGCGAGGATGGCCCCGGGGTGGGCAGGGGGATGTTCCTTGGAGCTAGCTGAATTCAGCGTTGAGTCCAGAATGGAGGGTGTTCTGCCACCCCACTCTAAACCGCACGGGCAGTTCTCGGGCCGGACCCCCTCTGTACAGCACACAGGAAAAAGTCAGAATGCTCTGGACTGGACGCTCAGCCCGGCACAGGCACCCTCTTCCATCCCGGTAGGCGGCGAGGGCTGCCCTCTGCCACGCCCCTAGGGAAGGGAGTCGGCCCCAGGTCGCCCCGCACCCCAGCCCTGCATGCAGGTGCCCTCGCTCCGCCCCTCTGCCCTGTCCCTGCCCCTGCCGCACACCGCCCTCCAGGGGCCGGCCGAGAGTGGAGCCGAAAGGGCCCCGGAGCCGAGCGAGGAGGACCAGGCAGCCTCCACCTGCGCTAGGTAGGCGTCCAGCTCTCGAGACTTTCAGTTCCTGTGGAGGGTGGGGGGTGTCATCCTTTTAAAAGAGTGTTCTGGAGCTTTCTGGTCCCCTTCCCTTCCCACCACACCCCGTGGCCACTTCTCCCTAGATTTTAGCTGTCATGTCTTTCCTCTTTATTTAGGGGTGGGGCCGTCATTGTTTGGGTCTTTCACTGTTGCAGTTGGGAACTCCTCCTCTGTTTGAGCAACTTGGGAACAATTTCGTAACACACCACAGGAAGCAGCTCTCCTCCCAGCCCCCTCCTCCTGCAAGGGATGGTGGAGGCTTGTCCAGAGGGTCTTGAGAAGCCCCCTGGGAGGGAGGGGAACGCGAGCACGCCAGCCCCCACTCCAGGGTGACTGGGCCCCTCTGGCTTGTCTTTCTGTGCCTTAGTCCTCCCTCCTTCCCTGCATCTCCCCTCCCAGGCCCGTTCTCAAGGCCTTGCGCCTCTCCGGTATGAAAACACAAAGCACAGGTCAGGATCCTCCGCAAGTCGGTCCAACATTGCACCACGTGGGGGTGGGTTGTGGGCTTTATTTATTGAGAATCGAGTTGGTGAGGCCGCGGCCCTGAGCAGGCGAATGGCCGCGTGCAGGGAGCTCGGGGCTGGGAGGCGGCTGTGCGGGGCGCTGTGTGGAAGTTGAGCGAAGCCCTCCCCTGTGGCGTCGAGGGCCCGGGTGGAGATCCCGCGGGGGGCCTCCCTGTGCGAGGGGAGGGAGCCCCAGGGTGGGGGGCCGGGCGGGCCGGGCGTGACGCGCGGTCAAAGTGCAATGATTTTTCAGTTCGGTTGGCTAAACAGGGTCAGAGCTAAGAGCTAGCGAAAGAGGGTCCCTGCCCGTCCGGCCGCGTGCGCCTCTTCGGTCGGTCGAAGACAGTCGGGCTGCGGGCGCTGTGGGTTTGCGGGGCGCAGCCCCGGGCGAGGTCAGAAGCTGCAGGCCAGCTGGGCCGGGGCCCAAGGTGCCCGGCGAGGTACTCCTGGGAGGACCGGGGTGGGGTGGGGGTGGCGCTCCTTTCCCAAGTGGTGTTGTGAGGGGCAGGCGAGGGACGATGAGGGCGACAGATGTGGGGACGTATTAGGAGAGGAAACAACCCACAAAAAAAAAAAATATAGGGGAAATTAACCTTTTTTTTTTTTCATTGAACCAAGTGCAATGCATCAGAGAGTTTTCCTATCTTTGTATGTTAAGAGATTAAGAAAAAAATTCTATTTTTGTTGTACTGTCCTCGCGGCTCTGGGGACGCTAAAAGAACTGGGCCTGCCCTGCCCTTAGCGGGGATGAAAGCTGAGTGTTTTTCCTTTTTTTTTTTTTTCCTTTTCTTTTCCTTTTTTTGATAGTTCTCTGGGTTTTTTCTTTTTTGTTTGTTTGTTTGGTTGATTGGTTGGTTTTTTGCCGTTTTCCTGCGTTGACGAGGATAATCTGGGGTTTTAATTTGTTTCGTCGTTCGGTCGGTGGGAGGGCTGAAGAAAACGTTCACATTTTATATTTTAAAAAACACCTCGACATGAAAAAAAAAACCAACACAAGATCAAAAGGAAAAGGACGAGAGAAAATTATTTTTAAGATAATTAAACATAAAAAACCCTGGTGCTTATTACATTATAAAGTACGTTTTTAAAAACCCACAAACTATTATACATACGTTTATGAATCAATTAAATATTCTGCACTTGTTAGGAACACGCATATCCCTTCTTTGTTGAGTTTAACGGAACGGGACAGCGGCGTGCGCCCCGCGGCTGGGCTGCTCTGGCCGCGGGTCTCCCTGGGCGCCCCCTCCCCCTTCCTCGCCCCCTCCCCCTCCGGGCACTGGGGCGCGGCGGGGGTCCCCGGCCCCCTCCCCCGCAGAGGTCAATGCCAACGAACAAACGTCCCTTTTCCCTTCCTCCCCACTCCGAGCGCCCTTCTTTGAGCCAGACGCCAACTTGACCCTCACCAGCATTAATCAGGAGCGCGCTCAGCAAGTTGGTAGTTTCCTCCCCGACCCCTTCCCACGGAACACTACTCTTCCCCTCCCTCCGGGAGGTCCGATGCTCCAGGACAGGTCCAGCCACGCTGACAGGTCGATTTGCCCAGGCCCGCGCACGCACGCACGCACGCACACAGCCCGGCACACATCCCCACCCCACCCCGCAACCAGCCCTGTCGACTGCCTTACACACCCGCCCCCGCGCTGGCCGGCCGACCTAGTGCCTTGTTCTCACCCCCGTGCTGGCGGAGCGGACGCCGCGCTCTGGGTCCCAGAGGGGCCGGGTGGCTCAGACGACCCACCGTTTCCCCCACCCCGACCGTGCTGAACGGACCCCCCCACGAGAGAAAAATAAAGGAGCAATAAAGTTATGAGAACTTTTGTCCCCCAATCGAGAGCCCTAGGGGCACCCCAGCCCCACCTCTGCTCCCCCCACCCCATCCACCCAAGGGGCGCCCCCCACCGCAAGCCAGCCGGGGCCAGCCCCCGCTTTGGCCCCTCTTGGGAGATCCGTGCGCCCCACCAGCACCAGCATCGCGGACCGCAAAGGCCGCCCGTCCCGTCAAACAAGTTTCTTCTTAGGCTAAGAAACGCAGTATATACGAGTATCTCTATATATAGTACTAATGGATTTGGTGTGCTTCCCCCTTAGCGTCCCCTTCCCTCTGCTCCTCTTTCAGCCTGGTCTCCCCTCTCTGCCCTCCACCCCCCCGTCTCTGCACTGAGATACATAAGAAACAAGGGTAGTTTACTGTCTGTTTTGTTTTCTGGGTTTTCAGTGTCCTAGCGGAATGCAAGTAGGCAGCCAGCCCGTCTGTCCCCTCTCCGCCCGCCCCGCCCCACCCCCGTCACTGCGCTTCTGTTATACCATCTTTGCCTGACTCTCTCCGGCTTCTCCATTGAATGGCTAATGTGTATGTGAAATAAAGAAATAAAGAAAAACAAATGCAAGAGTGTCTGAGTCTTCGTTAACGCGCTTAACAGGATCATGGACCAAGCGCAACCCGTTGGGCTCGCTGGGGTGGGTCCTCCTCCCACACGCTGTCCTGGGCTTCCCGCCTCCAGCAGGGGGCGCCGCTGCGAAGGCCTCCAGACCCTTCCCCACCTCTCCAAGCACCCCTAAGGATCCCATAGTCACTTTGCTTTGTTGAGTCTCTGGCCTTGGCCCAGGGAAGAGGACACTGGCCAGGCCACCTCAAGTAGCCTGTGGGAAATTTCCCTTAAAAGTCTGCGGGGCCCCTGAGTCGCCGGTCACCCTTCCAGAGCTACAGGGCGTTTCCTCATCTGGGCGACCTCAGTCCCCTTTACAGGGAGTTCACTGCGCAGCAGGTGAGGGGCCACTGCCTTGGGTCACCGCACCTCAGGACTCAGGGCCGTCTGCTCCATCTTGATGGTGCGCACCGACCCCTTGGGGTCGCCGTCGCAGTCCCCAGGAAGCACGGGCTGCGAGCGCGCAGCCTCCACCCTGTGTCGGGCCCCGCAGCGCGCACCGCCCTCCACGCCCCGGTGCGCCGGCGGCTTGCGGGGCCCGGCAGCGCTGGGGCCAGAGGCCAGCACGGCCGCCTGGTCTCGCAGCAGCCGCACCAGGAAGCCAATGTACTTCATGGCCAGGCGCAGCACCTCGTTCTTGCTCAGCTTCCGGTCGGGCGGGTGGGTGGGCAGCAGCTTCCTGAGCTCCGCGAAGGCGCCGTTAACGTGCTGCTGCCTCCAGCGCTCTCGGCTGTTGGTGAACACGCGACGAGCCACCTTCTGGGGTTGGTGCCCTGAGGACCCGAGGCATGGCGTCAGCCTAGGGGCCGGAGGGCACCCACGGCTGTCCTCAGTGAACACCACCAGCTTGGGCTTGAACCCAGACTGTGGGCTGTGTAGACACCAGAGCTGCTGAGCCTGATCATGCCTTGATGACAAGGATGTGTTCCTGGGTTCGCAGCGGTTCTCTTGCCTGCCGTGGGCCTGTGGGTGACTGGTGGCCTATCTGATGGCTGTGGTTGTGTGAGATCATGCCATGTGGTTGTGGGTGCTGTGTGTGTGGCTGGGGTTCTGAGGATGACTGTGGTCTCGTCGCTCTGTGTGATCCTAGTCCAGGGTGTCTCTTTCACCACTACCTTTTCGGCTTGGGGAGCGTCATCTGGTGGCTGCAGTGTCTTATTGTGGCCATGACTAGCTATAAGGCTTGGTTTGTTGGGACTCATTATGTAGCCCAGGCTGGCCTCTGAACTGACTCTCTTGCCTCAGTCTGGATGACAGGGACAAACCGCCCCCGCCACGCCGAGCTAGCCTCAGCACTGCGGTGTTGCATCGGCTATCACTTGTGTGAGTTGTCCCGGGTTGGTGGTGTGTGTGCATTCCACAAAACACCTCTCCCTGTGGCAGAGGACAGGCCAGTCAGACCTGGGCTGCAAGCACCCCCAAGTACACACACATGGATACACACACACTCACCCTCAGCCAAGTTGAGCTCACCGTGGCTCGGTCTTCGCTTCAGCCGGCTGTTAGGGAAGATGCTGAAGGGTCCCGCTGGCCCAATGTAGACGCTGTAAGGGGTTGTGCGTCATGAACGCCTTGTAGGCAAAGACCCTGACCACCAACCCTCAGCACTGCCCACAGTCCCGGCTCCTCACTGACCTGCTGAGGAAAGGGTGGGGATGGTAATGCAGGGCCAGGGTGGGCGGAGCTGTTCCCAAGGCAGCCAGCTGCAGCAGGGAGGGTCGGAGAGCACTCAGCTCTGTGGTGGGCATGGCTGCCGCCGTGGGCCTGCTATGGCCCAGGTTTATCACTGGTACACCTGGAGGCAACCAGGGGGTGCATGTGTTTCGGTGGTCCGGCTCCGCAGGAAGGGGCCCAGGTGAGGCCAGAGTAGGGAGAGGAGCAGGCGCTGGGCTGGAGGCACGCACCAGCTCAGCTTTCTCAGCCATGGCGGAAGCCACCTCTGCCTGGGCCTGGGGTGGGCACATGGACCCAAGGATGGAATGCTAACCTGTGGGAGGGAGCAGAGTTACGGGGAAGGCCGGAGACCATCTTTCTCCCACGTGTTTGACCTAACTGAGCTCTTCAGTGAGAGCACCTTGAGGAGAGGGAGGTGCTCACTCCTCAGTGGTCAAGGATGAGTAGACCCAGACTCACAAGGACATGAAGGGAGGCTTCCTCCACAAGAGGGGGTGTCTCCAGGGGCTAGGCAGCATTGGTCCTCTGAGTGCCTGCCCAGGGCTCTTTGTCAAGGGCTTCTTGCCTCTGAGCCAATTCCCCACCTTTCAGAATGTCTCCTACCTGCAGCTGGGGTACGGCAAGGGTCCCCTCACTAACTCTGAGACCCCCTGAAACTCCAAGATTCACCCTGTGCCACCTCTCCCTGCCCTTGCTGAAAGTTCTTCTCAGTAACCCTAACCCCATCAGCATCCAGATTTTTGCACCCTACATAACACGTTTGCTGGACTCCAGGATCTGGTGTGTCCTGACAGGGTGTGACCCCTTATCTCTCTGCCCTGTCCTCCCCAGCTGGAGAAGATCCCCTGACTCCTCAGTTAGGGGGCCCCAGCTGATGAATGAATAAATGAACTAAGGAACACAGAATGCAGGAGCAGACTCTCCCTCCTAACTTTCAAAGCGTCCTTCTTACCCTGTAGCAGTCAGTTCTCACAGCCTGGAGTGCTGTATGGTCAGGGCTGTCAATCCAGGTTAGGAGGCGGTTTCCATTTTCCAGTCCGTCAGTGTGCCCCAGGTGGTCCCGTTGGGCCTCAGAGCTGGGCTGCGCCACCTCCCGGGCTCCGGAGGGCCTGAGCAGTCTCAGAGTGGCGGCGGCGTGGTGGGTAACCCCAAGAGAAAGTGAGCGGCTCCTGGACCGACCCGCCTTTTCCCCGCCCCCGACAGCCTGGCTTCCTCCCTCTTACCCCCTGGCGCAGAGGCCAGAGGATGCTGGGCCTGTACAGATAAGGGTCTGGCTGCCTGGCCGCGCCTGATAAGGAGCTGTGCCGACCCCGGAGGAAACCAGCAGGCAGGGATCACGGAGTGCGCACCTCCTGGCCCACCTTGGCCAGAGCGGGCCGTCACCCTTCAGGGCTTGCTGCTCCCCTTGGCACTGGGAGACCCTAGCCCTCAGGAGACCCTGGAACCAAACTCACACAAAGAGGAAACAAGGCAAGGCTGCCTCTGGTGTCCTCTGCGGTTATTCTGCCTTTGAACCCCACCCCTTGCCCAGTGTCTGTGCTGATGGGGGTGGAAGGGGCCCCTTTCCGGTCCTCTGACGCCCCATGACCCAAGGGCCCCAGCCTCCAGCCTAGTTCCTCTTTTTTACAGATCCCCTGTGGGCTTCCCCCCATCCCCCACGCACCCAGGAACAGGGCTCCAGGAGACAGTTTGGCAATTTTGCCTTGCTGTGTCCTGGCAGGGCTTGTGCAGGTGTCCTGAGCCCTGTGGCACTTCCAAGGTATTTCCAAGCCCAGGGGAGTAGGATCCAGAGTGTCAGAGCTGTGTGTTTCCCAGAAGCTGCTCCAAGGCTCCCCAAGATACCGGGCCACTAGGCCACGCCACAGCTGGGTGGTGTCCCTTGCTGGCAGGTATTCTGGAGTGACATTCTGAATTCTAGAAATGGGGGGGGTGGGGCTGGAGAGATGTTTCAGTGGTTAGAGCACTTGTTGCTCTTGCAGAAGACTCAGGTTCTGTTACCAGGATCCACATGTTGCTCACAATCACCCCTAGCTCCAATTCTAGGGGATCTGACACCCTCTTCTTAACTCTGAGGGTCCCAGAGAAGCATATGGTGCACATATTCATACATGCAGGAAAAAGTCACATACATAACGATAAATAAACCTTTTACAAATCCTGGAAACCCTGCTGAAAGCTCCAAAGAGGAGCTCATGCCTTTAATCCCAACACTTGGGAGGCAGTCAGGCAGATCTCAGAGTTCAAGGCCAACCTGGTCAGTCTACAGACCAAGTTCCAGGACAGCCAGGGATACGAGGAGAAACCGTCTCTGGGGGAAAAAAAAAAAAAAAAAGGCTTCCAAGAGGAGCTGAACTGTAGGAAGTACAATACGCCTGTCCCATGTCCCGTATCTGGTTAATTGTAGGCACACTCAGGGAGGTGCTCAGTGGCCATCCAGCCTCATTAGTGCTGAAGTCACTGCCCCCACTGACTTCCTCTAAAGGAACTGTTGTAGCGGGCTCACTTTAGAGCTGGTGAAGGGTGCATATACCCCCAGAACTCCCTTGGCATTACTAACCCCTGCTCTAGGGGAGGGGGAGCCTCTGCATTGGATGTCTGGGCAGCCGCCTGCTCTGCCTTGTGTTCTCAGCGATTGTACCCCACGGAGGAGCAGGCAGGGCAGGAAGCACCTGGTCTGGGGCGGATGCACAGAGTGCCTGCTTCCGGTTTGGCTTCCGCCACCACACCAACTGGAGAGAGCTGGGCCCAAGAAACCAGGCAATAAGAGACTGCAGGGGGACTTGTGGGTGCTGGGGAGGTGGGGGGGGGTGCCTGGATAGTCAGAGGGGAGGCAGCAGGGTGACAGGCGAGCATGCTTGAGGCTGCCGCCCCGTGGCCACCTGATGAACTACTCTCCTGAACTGCCAGATGAGTTTCCGTGGCAGACAGACATCACACTGCAGTCAGGCAGGAACAACAGCCCCTGCCCGCCCCGCCCCCAAACACAGGCAGAGTCCCCCAGGCAGACAACCTCCCCACTCAAAATGACACCAGCAGAAAATGGTTTCTCTTTATTGTCTCAGTCCACACCTGGCCCAGCAGTGCCCCCACCAGCAGCCTCTGGTCCGGGGAGGATCTTGGGGGTGGTCTCTGGACAGTCTGTGAGGGGAGCATCAGCAGAGGCCACAGGTGCTGTAGGGCTGTGTGAGTAACAGCACTGGTCCCCTCGCTGACAGGTACCCTGGCAGGAAAATGGAGGCTGTGAGCAGGGGGGGGGGCCGCGGGCGGGCGGCTGGGGGGGGGCGGCTAGGGGGCTGGGCTTCTTTCCTTAGTCCCTGGCCCCTGCTGGGCCAGTCAGCCTGTCCCTTGGCTCTGTGGCAGGGAGGGTGGAAAAGAGAATCACCTCCTTGAATCGTTTGCAAGGAAATGTCTTGAGGCGAGCTGCCCTCTGGGCCGGGTCCTCAGCAGGCTCCTTCCGCTTATTCTGTAGCAGCCTCCGCCTCTCCTCCAGATCTTTCCTTGCCGCCTTGCCCCTGAGCAGAGACGGGGGCTGGTACCCTATGTCGCCTCTGCCAACCCAGCCCTACAAGCCCCACCTCTGCAACATTACCCTGGCCGGGCACGGGGCCGGGGACCCCAGTTGGCTTCTGGATTGGCCTGGAAGCGCTTGAGTCCTTGCTGGCGGGAGCTGGGGTTGGCATCTTCCCGGATGTTGAAGTTGGCCTTCAGCCTGGACAAAGGGTGGGGACTGGAGGCAGCAGCCATGCAGGGTGAACACGGACAGCCCCAGAAGCTGCCCACCCTGAGGCAGCACCATTGGTCTACCAGGCTCAGAGTTCTTCCATTTGTTGAGTGACACCCGGATTTCCTAGTGAATTTCTGACAAAGTGGCCTGGATCTGTCTCAATGGAGCTGGGTTTGCAGCATCAGAGACGGACAAGCAACAAGACAAATCAGAAGTAACCAGGGCTAGGGGTATGGTCCAGGTAGAGCGCTTGCCCAGCATGCACAAGGCTCTGGTTCCATCCCCAGCACCCCAAAGAAATAAAAAATAACGTCATACTGTGTCAGGACATGCCACTCAATAACTATTTTGGTAAAAGACCTAAGTCAGGCTGCAATGCTTGGCAGGGTGGTGCAGTCCAGAAGGATTCTCTGAAGTGAGAGAGAAGCAATGGCCCGACTGCCTGGGTTCAGGCTGCTAGGAGCAAAGAGGCAGCCAGCCATGGAAGGTCTGTGCTTTGTCCTGACCCAGACACTCCCGGTCTGTAGGGCCGAAGGAGAGACAGTGCAGGAGAGTGGGAAGGGTATGGGGCAAGGACAGAGGGGACAGCGGGTCTGGATTTCCCTCCAACAGCGTCGGTCTGGCCTGCTATGCCTGTGAGGTAGCTCGCCCCTTCCTGTATGTCTGTCCATACCTGGGCTCCACGGCCAGAATTCGGAAGGCCGGGCTGGTTTCCGACAGCCGCTCCCGTTTCACGGGACACTCCTTCTCCTGCGGAGAGAGGTCAAGGAGATGCTAGGCCTGAGGTCACCCAAGTCACCATCCCTTCCTTGCCCTCCTGCCTCGAGTCATGGAGTCATCTGCCCTCACCCAGCAACGCATGATGTCCCAGAGAGCTAGCGGGGGAGCGTCTGTCTTCACTGCATTCTTACAAGCATGGGAGAGAGAGACTCGGAAGCCAGCGTGGAGGAGAGCTGACCTGGGAGCAGAGACCACAAGGGAAGGCTAGACCCCAGAGCAGGTCCCGTGGAACGGCATGTCTGTTTCTTTCACAGGAAAGACATGTCACTGAGTGTGACACCAAACCACCTGCTGGGGGCTAGGGAGATGACTCAGTGGTTAAGAAAGAGCACTTGCTGCTCTTGCAGAGGACCCTGGGCTTGGAACCCAGTATCCACATCAAGGCGCACAATCCTCCGTAACTCCAGTCCTGGGGAATCTGACACCTTCTTCTGGCCTCCTTGGCACTGCATGCACATGGTGTGCATATACATGTGTAGGCAACACATACACTCATAAAAATTAAAAAACAGCACCTGCTGGAGGGCTCAAGGCCTCAGCTCTGCCCCGGGCACACACTAGACTCTGATGGTCCAAGCTGCCCCCGAAGGCCCTCACCGAAGCTGCAGAAGGCTGGGTGTGTTGCAGTGGATGGTGCTGCTCAGATGGTCCAGTGTGTAGTAGAGAGGGACGTCGGGAAGTTCCTGAGAGGCAAGGATGGAGTAGCATCGAGTGCTGGCAGGAAGACAGGCCCCTCCCTGTGTCGGAGTCCCCTCCTCCTGTATGTCCATTCATACCTCAGTAACAACACTCAGGACACCTTGGATCCGCTTGGAGGTGTGGAAGCGGCCAGGATTAGTGGTCACTGCCTCAAGGACTCGGCCCACAAAGTCCAGGTCATGGATGGGGTCTGCCCACATGGGGCCTCCAAGCTGCAGACACACAAGGTACAGATGAGCAAGGGGCATGAATACATGCGTGCTGGGACCCTGGACCCACTGCCTCTCTGACCTGGGCCCACCTGGTGTCGCTGTCCACAGTGTTCACACTCAGGGGTCACTGGAGGACCACAGGCAGCAGAGAACTTGACCCTGTAAGGAGAGGCCGTTGGAGGAGAGGCAGCTGGAGGGGTGGGGACCTGGGACGTCCTTCCAATCCAAACCACCGTGCTCACCTGCCAGCAGGGTCTCCGGACGCTCTGCCCAGGCGTTGCAGGTAGAAAGCCCCACAGCCCACACACTGGTACACCAGGGCCTGCTTGCTGTAGAAGCCCAGGAGAGGCCGTGAGTCCCCGATGTGCTCACGACACCTCAACTCCTCTCTCAGACCAACTCAGTCCCTTTTCAGACACCAAGGTTCCCCCATCAATTCATCAGCTTCCTGCCGCTGGGCTTACCTGGCTGAGGACTTAACCTTGGCCTGGCCTGTGAAAACGCGCACAAAAACCCGGACATAGAAGTCGGCACTGATGCTGAGCAGCGGCACCACGAAGCGCTGGTAGCAGTTGGCGTGCAGGTCCAGGCTATGCAGCACAATTCTCAGGGCCTGGCGGCAGGGTGAGCATTAGTGCTGGAAGAACAAGCTTGGGAACGCAACTTGGCTTACAGCCCATATTTCCTGGCTGTGTGACACTGGCAAACAGTGTTTGCTGTTCCTCAGTTTACCCATCTGCAAAGCCATGCCATTCCGTCTCTGTGGCTGGTGGCAGGCGCTACCTGACTGCAGCCTCAGCCTGAACAGGTGATCTGAACCCACCCGAGCTGAGAGTATGCCTTCACACAGACAACGGGGGTGGCGACCCCCCCACCCCGAGCTGAGAGTGTGCCTTCACACAGACAATGGGGGTGGCGGACCCCCCCCCCCAGCTGAGAGTGCCTTCACACAGACAACGGGGGTGGCGTCAGGAGCACGTCCAGCCTGATGGGAAGAGATGGTGGCACTGTCCAGGCTACAACAGACAGCAAGGGATCTTATGGAACAGGACAGGATGCCACGTTTGCCTCCCCCACTGCTTTACCTTCCCATCGTGACCACACAGGGTAGGCGCCATGCCCACACCTGTCCTGTAGATGCAACACTAAGGCCCAGAAAGGCGAGGTCAGCAGAGCCGGCAACTAAGCCAAGATAGAACTCAGACCTTGGAAAGTCACTCCAAGATTTTTTCTTTTCCCAGCATTTGGGAGGTGGAGGTGGGAGGATGTGGAGTTTGAGTTATCTTCAGGTACAAAGCAAGTTCAAGGCCAGCTTAGGCTACACGAGAGCCTATCTCAAACCCTCAACACCACAACTTCTGTGGTGGGGATGTGGCTCAGTGGTAGACACCGTGCATGCACAAGGTCCATTCCCAGGCACAACACGAAAACCTAGTTTCATTCTGAGAGCTGTGCCCGTAATCCAGCACCTGAGAGGAAGCTGCAGGAGACCCCTGCTTGGGGTACTCAGCACCCTCAATTCGGGATGGCAAGATGGCTCAGTAAGTAAAGGCACCTGCCAAGACTGATACAGGACCCAAAGACAAGAATGGACTCTAGACGGCCGGGCGGTGGTGGCTCATGCCTTTAATCCCAGCACTCGGGAAGCAGAGGCAGGCAGATCTCTGTGAGTTCGAGGCCAGCCTCGGCTACCAAGTGAGTTCCAGGAAAGGCACAAAGCTACACAGAGAAACCCTGTCTCGAAAAATTAAAAAAAAAAAAAAAAAAAAAGAATGGACTCTAGGAAGCTGTCCTGACTTCCATATGTTCACCATGGGCACACAACACACAAAAAATACACACCCGACTGGTCTCATAAGAGATCCATCTGCCTCTGCCTCCCAAGTGCTGGAATACACCAACACACCTAACAAAAATATTTATTTTTAAGGTTATACTATCAAATGCTAGGGGGAAAAAAAAAGATTGCCTAACCACTCCTGCCCATTGACGAAGGAAGTCAAGGATCTGCTTGCCAGTCACGTCACAGCTTGGGATGGACCAGTCCTGGCCATCCGAGGACACCGAGCAAGTCATCAGTATAGGAAGGAGTGCTCACAGCCTGTCCCGCCCCCAGGACAGCTCGGGGGACTCTCACCATCTCATGGCAGGCCCGGCTCTTGAGGGCCATGGCCCCATACTTGCTGTAGCACGTCTCTCCGCTGTTGCCGGCCAATACTGCCATGTCCGTGCAGGTGACACACAGCAGTCCTGTGGGGAAGGGCGGCAGTGATGACCCTCGAAGCACCCTGGCCCTGCACCTGCTTGGGCATTCTGGAGGCTCTGGCCCAGCCTCACCTCCGTCACTCACAGCCTGCACTGCTGCATCCAGGAAGGGGGCAGGGCTGCCGTAAGGGTCCAGGTCAATGACATCAAAACGCTCAGATGCCTTCTGGTGTTGGTACATCAGCATCCTAGATGTGAGCAGTCCAAGTTCTCAGCCTCTTAAACCAAGTCCCTGCCCTGTCCCCTATGGCACAGTGATTTTGGCCTTGAATTTGAGGCCAGCTTAGCCATTGGGGTTTTCTTTATATTTTTTAGCCATGGGGATGGAACCCAGTCTCGTGCATGCCAGGCAAGTGTTCTAATGCTGAGCTGCACTCCAGCCTCTTGATCATTTTTTTTGTTTATTTGGATTTGTTTTATTTGAGACAGGGTCTCACTATGTAGCTCTGGCTGTCCTAGACTCACTATGTAGACCAGGCTGGCCTCAAAGTCACAGATCCGCCTGCCTCTGCCTCCCATGTGCTGGGATTAAAGGCGTGTGCCACCACACCTGGCTTCCTTTGATATTTGTTAGCCAAACGATTTTTCTGTTTTACACAGGTCTCAGTCCCCCACTATAACCCTGACAAATTAAAGCCAATAGGAAGGACAGTTCCTTGACTCCTATAGCCATAAAGAAACCACCCTGCAGGGGCTGGTGATGTGGCTCAGTGACTGAGAGAGAGAGCTGCTGTACACAAGACCCAGGTTTGTTCTCAGCACCCATGCTGAGACGACTCAGCATGACCACCATGGACACCCTGTTCTGACCTCTTCAGGTACCTGTGCTCACAGGTCTACACACACACACACACACACACACACACACACACACACACACACACACA